ACCCTATCTCCTTCGCTCTCTGTAACTTGGACCCACACAAAGCTTTAAAATCAGTTAACGAATACTAGTCCATCATAAACATGCGTTTATGGGTGGGAATATGAACGTAATGATAACAGAATGGCTGTTACCTCTAGCAACAGATATGAGAGAGCTAACAGTATAGGCTGGTAAAGGCCGTGTGAGCAAGCGTTGATGCATGGCAGGTTGAGATGGTTGTATTTAACAAAGGATGGGTTTGTAAACTCAGTTATCACACACACAGTGTACCTAACAATGGATAGGTGTCAAAAGCTATGTTAATGCACTTTCACACACAGGGATGCAAATTCAGCAGAATACTGTATAGCACAGCATTGTTTACGTCAATAGAAATGCTGAAAGGTATCAAACAACAGTAACTGAACTAGATACATCTGAGAGAATCAACAGCATAGCATGTATGCCAGAGAAACAATCTTTCACTCCCCAGTATAGCATTCCTTCCTCAACTGACAAGGTCACACACAATCCAAGGTCCAGTCGAAGCAGGTACTCTTAAAATGTAAGACATGCTAGTGCCCTTTGCCTTCTGTAACCATCCAGCATATCAAATGCAGTCTTTCACTCAGTCCTGCATTAGCTATTAAACTAAAGTCTAGCCTTGATTTACACATTCCCAAACCTTGATGAAGTAAACAGAGGATGAGCGCTGTGGGAGAATACCGAACGCATGCAGAGGAAGAGGTGTAAGAAGAGTTGTCCAACCAGACAGCTTGGCTCGGAACAGGAGAGAGATTACTCTTATAAGCAGGTTGTGACACGTTAACAGCTACATAAATTCACAACTCTTCTAAGATATTTCTATAACGCTGTCCACACTGCCATTCAGTAGTAGTAACAAAAACAGACCATAAGTCATACATCAAGAAAATCAACAAACACAGTTTACCAGTATCAGGAATTGTATTTATTATATGTATATAATTTTGTTTATTTGTTAATTGTTTAATTCATAATTACCATAGAATATACATAGACGATAACCCTCATCAGCTCATATCTCTTTGACAACCTACTCATATGGCATATCATCTTAATTTAAAAGAATAAAGGGGAAAAATAGGTTCCAGAAAGAGTGAAAACACTGCCAGTTATAGCACACCCATAAGAGAAACAAAAAAGAGAAATAAAAACATACTAATAATACTAATTAACTCCCTTTTATGTAAAAAACACACCAATATAACAACGATAGCAATAAGAACAGCCAATTATAAAGGACATTATTTAGAAACCGGCCTCACTATGCATTTTTTATTCATGCATTGCGTGCGTGTGTGCATATGTGGTGTGTATGTGTGTGTCTGTGAAAAAGTGAGTGACTGCGTATTGCAAACATGGTCCCGTTGGTTCATTCGCATGGTCCTCCAGTGAGACTGGTGGTCAGTTGGGTCGTGTCGCTGGTGGGGGGGGGGGGGGGGGGTAGTAAAGCAGCTTTTGGTCAGAGAACGACAGACAGTCACAAGAATCCAAACATGCAAATAGAAAGAAGGGGAAAGCCTCTGGAGTGCGTTTCAAAAAGATAAACACACAGACGCAGAGAGACACATACATACTGCCGATTGGAGTAGTGTCTGTGTTTCAACCATTGACTATACACACACACACACACACACACACACACACACACAATGAAACAGTGCGGACCAGGGTGGTCCACTGCAATGTGTGTTAAGACATTTGACACGCACACACTCAAAAAGTGTGATGGGCTCCAGTGAGATTCCATGAAGAATCAGCCCAGAATACGTAAGCAGAATGGAGAGGGATAATTTTTTAAAAATAAAAATAAGAGCAAAAGAGTAGGCCCATGTCTTGACTCAAGACTAAAACGGTTGAAAAAAACGAAACAAGAAAAAACAGAAGGGGAAAAAGTTTGGTCAGTGTGGCAAAGTGCAGGTGCGCTGATTGAGTCACATGATTGACGCGAATAACCCCCTCTTCCCCCAACATGACTGACAGATGTCACTCAAGCAATGCTCCTCCCCTTTAAATCAGATCCGATTTCATTTCTATCCATGATTGGTTGAAAAAGAGGAGGGAGGAGACGCAAACAAAAATGTACAGGAGGAAATCGAAAAATAAATGAGTCAGCGAATGGCAGCGCAACCTGGGATGTGTTTTGGGAGGTCTCTGCCAATCAGAAGCGAGATAAGCGGAAGGTGGGTGGGACCTGAGGGGGAAAGCCCTTTGAGTAAAGCATGGCTGGTAATTGAGGGGTGTGGAATGGATGATACTGCCCATATGCACTGATCGATCAGAGGTGCGTTCAGTTCGCTTTAACATTTGCTACGTTGCGGAACGGTTTGTACTGAACGACACGTTTCCCCAAAACATTATTGAACAGACTTAGAGGTACGTTTGCTCATACTGACAACGTTTTAAAAAGGGCAGAAGCCATGCTGACACTGTTCCTCCTCCCTGTTTTTCAACTGCTCGTTCAGTACAGTTTCTGTTCAATTGAACGTTCCAGAACGTAAAAACGTACTGAACACAGCCATGGACTCAGATTTACTCTCCGCCTCCTCGAATGGCTAAATATAAGGATTAGGAGAGGCTAAACTGATCCCTGATCTGAAAATAGGGCCACTTCTACCGTGAATAGAGGCTTATGGATTCTGAGGACGTACTACTGAAAAATGGAGCGGTCCACTGTTAGATGCGAGTGGAAAATGTGACAGCGATGCGTTAAGCTCTGAGCGACGCCCACCATGAAACACAGCACATTAGGAGGAAACAAAGACCAAATCAGCCAATTACCATAGACACCGTAACCGTGGCAACCATTATCAGTTTAACACAAGCGTAAAGTAAATATCAGCCGTATATCTGCTGATTCTGCCTGCCACCCTCCACAACTAACTGAATACAGTATTTACACATCCACTGTCCTCCCTGAAATAATACCAGACAAGGGAGGAGAGAGGTGAATGGCAAATACGCAGAGAGAGAGGAGAAATTTGAATGTTTCTAATATGGCGGCTGATTTCAACTTGAATTTGGTTTTGGTGACATTTTGTGTTGGGAGAAGAGAGACATACTATAGGTACCCCTCTCCAACAAAGATTGGCAGTTTTTCTTAACCTGCCATTTAAGGACCGGTGAGTGGCATGTCGCTGATCGGCGTTAGTGAGTCAGAAGAAATGTTAGAAATGCTGACGTGATTCCCTATTCTAAGATGTGGGGTAATCGTGCCTGTTCTAGGATATGTATTTCTATCTTAAAACTCTGACGTCCTCTTTGAATAAGTGTGGATGGAGACGATTCAAACCATTCCGCTGTCTCGCTCCATGCCTCCATCCCATTCTCCCTTTGCTACCTTGGTACATTTCAAGAATGTATCATTCAGATGAACAACATCACAAAGAAGAAAAACTACCAACATGCCCATAAAACATGTTTGTTTTCGCAAGTAAAGAATGTCTAGAAACCAGTGTTCCAAAAAAAACTACAAATTATTCTCAAATATAAACTTCAAAACATACAAATACGACTCCTGACTGATCATAAACATTCAAATAACGGTGTACAAACCAAACCGCCATGAGATCACAAACAAAACCATTTGTATGTACACACCCAACTAGCGCCCGTCTATCTCCTTTTTTTCCCCCGCCCTTTTAACAATAATTCCATGGAGCAAGACAGACAGTTGGTTAATACAGTAACATATACGGTGACTAGTGAGAGAGATGGAAAGAAAGAACAGATTCACAGAGATAGGGAAAAAAAGAGAGAACACAGGCTCACAGGGAAGAGAGTGGTAAATGGAGTTGGTCAGATGGGAGTAAGATTAAGTTCTTGCTTTTTAAACAGTACAACACTCCACACAGAAAAGCAGTAAAAGAAGAGAAAGAGGGAAGAGTATCCTGATGGTGGTTAAAATGAGCGCAGTAGTACTTAAAGGAAATATCCACCCAAAACCACTAATTCCTATCATTTACAGTGTTAAATAACACTGAGAACAATATTTTTTTTAGTGAACAAATGTTTCATTTTGTTGTTCTAATAAGGTTGGTAACAACGTGAAAATAGTTGTGGAAAACTGCTGCAGCTCAAGTCGACTACAAAACCCACAATGCAATGCTCTCTATGGGCTGGCTGGCAAGCTAGCTAGCAAATGTAGCTACACACAATAATACCAGAGTCAATCTCAGCATGTGAAATAGTTAGTTGTAAAATCGCCATGTTTAACCTGCAGATCGATGTGCCTCGCAGAGTGGAGTCTGACATTTGCAACGGCCATGGACTAAAGAGGCAGACAAATAGGGTGGACCCTCTGTTTAATTACACATTTCTCGAGGTAGGAATATTGCAAAAATATGATGGCTCAGACAACCTCCAGAGTCATGACATCGGCCAGTATCGAACATGCATTATAGACGTTTTTGCGATCTAAAAGTCGTATTCCTATCAACTTTCAGTGTAATGAGAGCGGCTTTATCGCAGAGCTACGCCATACCGTCCGAATTTCTGCCTGCTTGAATGGCAATAGCTCAGATATACATGAAAACATGAAATAACCCGGGAATCAATAGCACATCACTCGGAGATGCACAAAAATAATATAACATTCAAAATGGGTGAATCTTTCCTTTAAGTAGACAACAGTGTCCCCCCCCCCACCAAAAAAAAAAAAAAAAACACAGCTTCCCACGATAGAAATTGAAGAAGAAAAAAAAACAGTTAAATGTACATGTTTCTGGTCCTTTTTGTATGCTGTATATATGTTTTTTTTATATCTTGTCGTTTAGAGTCTTCCTGTTCCAAGCCTCCGTGTGGCTTGGTCACTCGTCTTCAAAGCTGAAACACAAAATGAACAGGAGATAAAAATGACAAAAATCACAGCAAAAAAGTGTCTGCATGTGTGTGTGAGCAGAATGCCCACCTATCTTTTATAAAGCTCTAGTAATCGTTATGGAGTGATGCAAGTATGTATGTGTATGTACCTCTATGTCTCAGGAGCCCTGGTAGGTGGCCTGGAAGCGGGCTGTCTCCTCAAAGATGAGCTCCTTCAGCTTCTCCTTAGGCAGGTCATCCAGCTCCATGGTGAAGGTGAACGGCTCCTCTGCTACGGGCTATACACAATGAAAATACTACACTGAACAAAAATATAAACGCAACATGTAAAGTTGGTGCCATGTTTCATGAGCTGAAAAAAAAAAAAGATCCCAAAACCGTATCTCTCAATTTTCACAAATTTGTTTACATTCCTGTTACTGAGCATTTCTCCTATGCCAAGATAATCCATCCATCCATCCATCCATCCGACAGGTGTGGCATATCAAGAAGCTGATTAAACAGCATGATCATTACACAGGTGCACCTTGTGCTGGGGACAATAAAAGGCCACTAAAATGTGCAGTTGTCACACAACACAATGCCACAGATGTCTCAAGTTGAGGGAGCGTGCAATTGGCATGCTGAATGCAGGAATGTCCACCAGAGCTGTTGCCAGAGAATTGAATGTTCATTTCTCTACCATAAGCTGCCTACAACGTCATTTTAGAGCATTTGGCAGTACGTCCAACCGCTCTCACAACCGCAGACCACGTGTAACCATGCCAGCCCAGGACCTCCGCAGCCGGCTTCTTCACCTGCGGGATCATCTGAAACCAGACACCCGGACAACTGATGGAACTGTGGGTTTGCACAAGGGAAGAATTTCTGCACAAATTGTCAGAAACAGTCTCAGGGAAGCTAATCTGCGTGCTCGTTGTCCTCACCAGGGTCTTGAACTGACTGCAGTTCGGAGTCGTAACAGACTTCAGTGGGCAAATGCTCACCTTTGATGGCCACTGGCACGCTGGAGAAGTGTGCTCTTCACGGATTAATCCCGGTTTCAACTGTACCGGGCAGATGGCAGACATGGCGTCGTATGTGCGAGCGGTTTGTTGATGTCAACGTTGTGAACTGAGAGTCCCATGTTGGCGGTGGGGTTATGGTATGGGCAGGCAGGCAAAAGCTACGGGCAACGAACACAATTGCATTTTATCGATGGCAATTTGAATGCACAGAGACACCATGACGAGATCCTGAGGCCCATTGTCGTGCCATTCATCCACTGCCATCACCTCATGTTTCAGCATGATAATGCACAACCCCATGTCGCAAGGATCTGTACACAATTCCTGGAAGCTGAAAATGTCCCAGTTCTTCCACGGCCTGCATACTCACCAGACAATGTCACCCATTGAGCATGTTTGGGATGCTCACAGCGTGTTCCAGTTCACGCCAATATCCAGCAACATCGCACAGCCACTGAAGAGTGGGACAACATTCCACAGGCCACAATCAACAACATCATCAACTTTATGCAAAGGAGATGTGTCACGCTGCATGAGGCAAATGGTGGTCACACCAGATACTGACTGGTTTTCTGATCCACCCCCAATTTTTTTCAATTTATTTTTTTAAAGGTATCAACAGATGCATATCTGTATTCCCAGTCATGTGAAATCCATAGATTAGAGCTTATTTAATTCATTTCAACTGACTGATTTCCTTATATGAACTGTAACTCAGTAAAATCTTTGAAATTGTTGCATGTTGCGTTTATACACTGAACAAAAATATAAAAGCAACATGTAAAGTGTTGGTCCCATGTTTCATGAGCTGAAATAAAATATCCCAAAACCGTATCTCTCTCAATTTTCACAAATGTCTTTACATTCCTGTTAGTGAGCATTTCTCCTTTGCCGAGATAATCCATCCATCCGACAGGTGTGGCATATCAAGAAGCTGATTAAACAGCATGATCATTACACAGGTGCACCTTGTGCTGGGGACAATAAAAGGCCACTAAAATGTGCAGTTTTGTCACAACACAATGACACAGATCTCTCAAGTTGAGGGAGCGTGCAATTCGCATGCTGATTGCAGGAATGTCCGCCAGAGCTGTTGCCAGGGAATTGAATGTTCATTTCTCTACCATAAGCCACCTCCGTCGTTTTAGAGAATTTGGCAGTACATCCAACCGGCCTCAACTGCAGACCACGTGTAACCACGCCAGCTCAGGAGCTCCACATCCGGCTTCTTCACCTGCAGGATCGTCTGAGAACAGCCACCCGGACAGCTGATGAAACTGAGGAGTATTTCTGTCTGTAATAAAGCCCTTTTGTGGGGAAAAATGAATTCTGATTGGCTGGGCCTGGTTCCTCAGTGGGTGGGCCTTTGCCCTCCCAGGCCCATCCATAGCTGCGCCCCTGCCCAGTCATGTGAAATCCATAGATTAGGGCCTAATTAATTTATTTCAATTGGTTGATTTCCTTATATGAACTGTAACTCAGTGAAGTCATTGAAATTGTTGCATGTTGCGTTTATATTTTTGTTCAGTATATTTTATTAAGTGTAATAACAGTATACAAGAAATAGGCTACAGTACACTCAAAACAGTACACAAAATCATAAACACTTTAGGGCGCTTTCACATATGATCCTGGAGCGTTTGGTACCCTGATCCATAGGGATGTAACGATTCACATCAGTCCCTGATTCAAATGTTTAAGATACAACTGCATTGGTCCACGGACCCCAAACCGAACCAAATGCAAATGCATCGGTCAGAAAATTGATTCAAACGTTACGAATTGCTGATTCACAGTTTTTGTTGTTGCTCATATTACTTTCTTTCTACCTTCCGAAAATCTCATATTTGATGCGTCCTCTCCTTCAGTGGCGAACTAAGCATGTAACTGTGACAGTCATTAATCTACAAGTAATTTTGCATGCCGAACAACCCTAGGGAATATCAGTAGCTAGGGGTGTAACGGTACACGTATTCGTACCGAACCACTCTGTACAGGGACCTCGGTTCGGTCCGCACTGTGAACCCGAATAAATACATTAAAGAAAATATATAAAAACACTAGGCCTATAGGCTATGCATACGCTGTGTTGAATGCCTCGAGTACATCTGAGCTGAAAAATACATTTCAGGCTATTCCGTTGAAACTAGAGCCTATGCGAACATTGTAATCAAAATTAAAATCTTAATTGGCGCATTTCAAACTGTCCTTTTGTGATGCACAGCCGGGACCTTGTTCTGTACAATGGCGAGTGGTGGGGTCGATAAACCAGGAGGATTCTCCATCATCGTTTAAAATCTCCAGTTTGGGAAAATGTTGGCTTCCCAGTAGATTACAACGGCAATGGACAGAGAGAGTAGGTTGCCACTGCTCAACGAGAATAGCCTATGCAGCTGCCAACACCTCAAACAGTGTGGTGAAGAAGGCGCAACAGCGCCTGTGGAACGGTCGTTAAGACACTAACAGCTTACAGACGGTAGGCAATTAAGGTCACAGTTATGAAAACTTAGAACACTAAAGAGGCCTTTCTACTGACTCTGAAAAACACCAAAAGAAAGATGCCCAGGGTCTCTGCTCATCTGCGTGAACGTGCCTTAGGCATGCTGCAAGGAGGCATGAGGACTGCAGATGTGGCCAGGGCAATAAATTACAATATCTGTACTGTGAGACGCCTAAGACAGCGCTACAGGGAGACAGGACGGACAGCTGATCGTCCTCGCAGTGGCAGACCACGTGTAACAACACCTGCACAGGATCGGTACATCCGAACATCACACCTGCGGTACAGGTACAGGATGGCAACAACAACTGCCTGAGTTACACCAGGAATGCACAATCCCTCCATCAGTGCTCAGACTGTCCACAGTAGGCTGAGAGAGGCTGAACTGAGGGCTTGTAGGCCTGTTGTAAGGCAGGTCCTCACCGGCAACAACGTCGCCTATGGGCACAAACCCACCATCGCTGGACCAGACAGGACTGGCAAAAAGTGCTCTTCACTGACGAGTCGCGGTTTTGTCTCACCAGGGGTGATGGTCGGATTCGCGTTTATCGTTGAAGGAATGAGCGTTACACCGAGGCCTGTACTCTGGAGCGGGATCGATTTGGAGGTGGAGGGTCCGTCATGGTCTGGGGCGGTGTGTCACAGCATCATCGGACTGAGGTTGTTGTCATTGCAGGCAATCTCAACGCTGTGCGTTACAGGGAAGACATCCTCCTCCCTCATGTGGTACCGTTCCTGCAGGCTCATCCTGACATGACCCTCCAGCATGACAATGCTATCAGCCATACTGCTCGTTCTGTGCGTGATTTCCTGCAAGACAGGAATGTCCGTGGTCTGCCATGGCCAGCGAAGAGCCCAGATCTCAATCCCATTGAGCACGTCTGGGACCTGTTAGATCGGAGGGTGAGGGCTAGGGCCATTCCCCCCAGAAATGTCCGGGAACTTGCAGGTGCTTTGGTGGAAGAGTGGGGTAACAACTCACAGCAAGAATGGGCAAATATGGTGCAGTCCATGAGGATGCACTGCAGTACTTAATGCAGCTGGTGGCCACACCAGATACTGACTGTTACTTTTGATTTTGACACCCCCTTTGTTCAGGGACACATTATTCCATTTCTGTTAGTCACATGTCTGTGGAACTTGTTCAGTTTATGTCTCACTTATTGAATCTTGCTATGTTCATACACATATTTACACATGTTAAGTTTGCTGAAAATAAACGCAGTTGACAGTGAGAGGACGTTTATTTTTTTGCAGAGTTTATGTAATTTGCTAGGGTATTACCATCTATACGCTGTTGAAAATTGAGTTTTACTGGGAAAAAAGTAAGCTACTGGAGACGACTCATCTGGCTATACCTGCTGAACGGGGCTTGCTCCCACACATACACACACAGCTCATGAGATCCAGCAGCAGCATATTTTAATTTAGAATGGAAAATGTGTTTATGCAACAAATGTTAGTGCATCGAATCGTATCGCATCGATTTGTTCTCTAATCAAACCGAATCGCTTCAAACTAAAACGTATCGTTCTTGTATCGTATCAGAGCCCATGTATCTAGATACGCATCGAAACGTCTTGAAAGGGAAAGATGCGCATCCCTACTGATCCGTGCTATAAAGCATGTGTAAAACGGAAACTAACCATGGCTGAAACAAATCCTGGACCTGCGGGAGTAGTGGGACCAACAATCCAGGACCAAAGTATCAGGTATTGCGGCGTGGAACTCTATGCCTGTTGAAAACAAGCTCGCTTTCTAATGTCATGTAAAATGTGGTCTATTTTTAGGTGTTGTGAAAGCAAAACATATTTTGTAGAATTCTCAAACGCTTCAGGAAACCGAACCAGGGAACCAAATTTCATACGTGAAAAGGGCTTTAGATTGTTTATAGACAGGGCACTACAGCATGTGAGGGGAATACCGTATGTGAGGACGGGCTGCTGCTGTCATACCTCGTCAGTGGGGTCGTAGTACTGCTCCAGATAGGGATGAGCCAGGGCTTCCTCTACCGTGATGCGCTTGATAGGGTTAAAGGTCAACATGCGGCCCAGCAGATCCAGGGCTGGAGGGAGAGATGGGAGAGTGTTGTTAAAAGGTCCCGAACAGTCATTCTGATTCCCATGTAAAATAGCCTTTTGAGTTACTAAAATATCACCCATAATATTTGTTTTGGATATAAAATGTTCAACATTTGAGAAAAATGAATGTTCCCCCTCTCATGGCCATCTACCAAGAAGTTTGAAAAGACAGGATGAGTGGGTGGGGAGCTTATATTCATGAGCTCACCTTGATGGACAGCTCTTTGAAACGCCTATGTCAAGCAACTTGGATGCAGTGTTGCAGTAAAATCATCTCAAGCTAAGTTAGTGATTCACAAAGCAACTCAAAGAACATCGAAATTGCATCAATGTTTGGCATGTCTCTTGGGATGCGGTTCACAGCAACACTGACGGATGTGTTGACTTGACAACTGCGTCAGTGTTTTGAACGACCCTTCCTCCCTTCTGTTCCATGCTGGCTGAAGACCTAGCTAGCCAGTAACTAGCTAACACCAGACACAGATGAAAGGGGAGACATACAAGTATCTTTGCCATAGATTAATAGTGTACCATTTTAATTATATATTTGCTGACACCCTACAGTCACATTTTGGCACCAGCAGAGTAACTATCTAGCTATATAAACCATGCCGCTCTGCAAACATGCCTTCGACGATGTTGGTTACAAGGCCATACTTACTTAAATTAGGTAAGAGAATATCATGTTACCATTGGTGTATTAAAATGAGTTAGGGTGATGTCACCCTATCCCCTTAATAATCCCACCCCCTGAATCCAAGTGTTTGACATGGGGGAGGGGACCACTAACTTTATGATCAAACTTTATAAAATGTAGAAGCAAGTCATTTTCATACTTTGGTCATCATACTTCTATCTTGTTTCATCCAAATAGCATCAAATTTCATGAAAAACATGATTTTTACTGTTCATGACCTTTAAAGGGATAGTTATTTCCAAAAATCAATAGATTATCCATAAATCCCACATGAAAGGGAAGGATAGACACCTAATGTCACCATTTTAACTAGGTTGAAGTCTACTCGGTGTACCAAAAGCCGGTATTCCCATCAACTCACACCTGAGTAGGAGAATGGGCTGCTAGTGAAGCTAGGAAAAGGGAAAGTGTGAGTATGCATGTAATGCTTGCAAATGTATGTGAAAACTGTGAATGAGGGGAAAAAGTATTTGATCCCCTGCTGATTTTGTACGTTTGCCCACTGACAAAGAAATGATCAGTCTATAATTTTAATGGTAGGTTTATTTGAACAGTGAGAGACAGAATAACAACAACAAAATCCAGAAAAACGCATGTCAAAAATGTTATAAATTGATTTGCATTTTAATGAGGGAAATAAGTATTTGACCCCCTCTCAATTAGAAAGATTTCTGGCTCCCAGGTGTCTTTTATACAGGTAACAAGCTGAGATTAGGAGCACACTCTTAAAGGGAGTGCTCCTAATATCAGCTTGTTACCTGTATAAAAGACACCTGTCCACAGAAGTAATCAACCAATCAGATTCCAAACTCTCCACCATGGCCAAGACCAAAGAGCTCTCCAAGGATGTCAGGGACAAGATTGTAGACCTACACAAGGCTGGAATGGGCTACAAGACCATCGCCAAGCAGCTTGGTGAGAAGGTGACAACAGTTGGTGTGATTATTTGCAAATGGAAGAAACACAAAAGAACTGTCAATCTCCCTCGGCCTGGGGCTCCATGCAAGATCTCACCTCGTGGAGTTGCAATGATCATGAGAATGGAAGGAATCAGCCCAGAACTACACGGGAGGATCTTGTCAATGATCTCAAGGCAGCTGGGACCATAGTCACCAAGAAAACAATTGGTAACACACTACGCCGTGAAGGACTGAAATCCTGCAGCGCCCGCAAGGTCCCCCTGCTCAAGAAAGCACATATACAGGGCCGTCTGAAGTTTGCCAATGAACATCTGAATGATTCAGAGGAGAACTGGGTGAAAGTGTTGTGGTCAGATGAGACCAAAATCGAGCTCTTTGGCATCAACTCAACTCGCCATGTTTGGAGGAGGAGGAATGCTGCCTATGACCCCAAGAACACCATCCCCACCGTCAAACATGGAGATGGAAACATTATGCTTTGGGGGTGTTTTTCTGCTAAGGGGACAGGACAACTTCACTGCATCAAAGGGACGATGGACGGGGCCATGTACCGTCAAATCTTGGGTGAGAACCTCCTTCCCTCTGCCAGGGCATTGAAAATGGGTCGTGGATGGGTATTCCAGCACGACAATGACCCAAAACACACGGCCAAGGCAACAAAGGAGTGGCTCAAGAAGAAGCACATTAAGGTCCTGGAGTGGCCTAGCCAGTCTCCAGACCTTAATCGCATAGAAAATCTGTGGAGGGAGCTGAAGGTTCGAGTTGCCAAACGTCAGCCTCGAAACCTTAATGACTTGAAGAAGATCTGCAAAGAGGAGTGGAACAAAATCCCTCCTGAGATGTGTGAAAACCTGGTGGCCAACTACAAGAAAGGTCTGACCTCTGTGATTGCCAACAAGGGTTTTGCCACCAAGTACTAAGTCATGTTTTGCAGAGGGGTCAAATACTTATTTCCCTTATTAAAATGCAAATCAATTTATAACATTTTTGACATGCGTTTTTCTGGATTTTTTTTGTTGTTATTCTGTCTCTCACTGTTCAAATAGACCTACCATTAAATGTATAGACTGATCATGTCTTTGTCAGTGGGCAAACGTACAAAATCAGCAGGGGATGAAATACTTTTTTCCCTCACTGTATGCATTTTGTGTGTTAGCATGTGAGAATGTGTACATGTGTGAAAAAAACTAAAAATCCTGTTGTACTTCCCTTTCTTGCACTAAACATTGCACTGACTTTGCTGATAGCTGCTTTATTGAGGAACAGTTTTACTTACTATGACGGTCTTACCTAATGACCCTAAGATGAATGCACTAACTGTAAGTCGCTCTGGGTAAGATAAATTACTATAATGTAATGCAATAATGTGTGTGTTCTACCCTTGCTGTCTGCCTTGGGGAACAGCTTGTTCCAGGGGATCTTGGGTTTCTCAGGCAGAGACTGCAGGTAGTTCCTAGCCTTCATGTTGATGATGCAGTTCAGGTCGTCCGGAGTGGGAGAGCCTAGGATGCCTGCACAACCAATCAAACACTTTACACCTGGGTCCTGTTCAGTAGGACACAATGTAGCAAACACTTGAAACACTTTGAAAATGGAAATAGGAAATGCATTAATACTGAACAAAATTATAAACACCATGTAAAGTGTTGGTCCCATGTTTCATGAGATCCCATTTGTGCACAAATGTGTTTACATCCCTGTAAGTGAGCATTTCTCTTTTGCCAAGATAATCCATCCACCTGACAGGTGGGGCATATCAAGAAGCTGATTAAACAGCATGATCATTACATAGGTGCACCTTGTACTGGGGACAATAAAAAGGCCACTCTAAAATGTGCCATTTTGTCACACAACACAATGCCACAGATGTCTCAAGTTGAAGGAGCGTGCAATTGGCATGCTGACTGCAGGAATGTCCACCAGAGCTGTTGCCAGAGAAATTACTGTTCATTTCTCTATCCGTCTTCTTCACCTGCGGCATGGTCTGGGACCAGCCACCCAGACAGCTGATGAAACTGTGGGTTTGTACAACCGAAGAATTTCAGCACAAACTGTCAGAAACCGTCTCAGGGAAGCTCATCTGCGTCCTCACCAGGGTCTTGACCTGACTGCAGTTCGGTGTCGTAACCGAGTTCAGTGGGCAAATGCTCACCTTCAATGGCCACTGGCATGCTGGAGAAGTGTGCTCTTCACGGTTGAATCCCGGTTTCAACTGTACCGGGCAGATGGCAGACAGTATGGCGTCGTATGGGCGAGCGGTTTGCGGATGTCAACAGAGTGCCCCATGGTGGTGGTGGGGTTATGGTATGGGCAGGCATAAGCTACAGACAACAAACACAATTGCATTTTATCGATGGCAATTTCAATGCATAGACATACCGTGACGAGATCCTGAGGCCATTGTCGTGCTATTCATCCGCCGCCATGACCTCATGTTTCAGCATGATAATGCACAACCCCATGTCGCAAGGATCTGTACACAATTCCTGGAAGCTGAAAATGTCCCAGTTCTTCCATGGCCTGCATACTCACCAGACATGTCACCCATTGAGTATGTTTGGGATGCTCACAGCATGTTCCAGTTCCCGCCAATATACAGCAACTTCGCACAGCCATTGAAGAGTGGGACAACATTCCACAGGCCACAATCAACAGCCTGATCAACTTTATGCAAAGGAGATGTCGCGCTGCATGAGGCAAATGGTGGTTACACAGATACTGACTGGTTTTCTGATCCACTCCTATACATTAAAAAAAAAGGTATCAACAGATGCATATCTGTATTCCCAGTAGTGAAATCCATAGATTAGTGCCTATTTAATTAATTTCAATTGACAGATTTCCTTATATCACCTGTATAAGCATTGAAATTGTTGCGTTTATATTTTTGTTCAGTGTATAAGGCAAGTTCAGGTAAGTTCAGCCATGTCCACCCCTTCTCACAGACAGAAGCCAAAGTCAAGGATATTTCGGAAAAGAGCACACAGCAAGTCATGCAAAAGTTTAAGCGAGTGTCGCACCCTATTCCCTATATAGTGCACTACTTTTGACCAGGGCCCATAAATCTCTGGTTAAAAGAAGTGCACTAGATAGGGATTAGGCTGCCATTTGGGTCGCATCCTGTGTGTCTCTCTCTCACCCAGTATGTGGTTGAGCTGGTCCAGGTAGTGCTTCCCAGGGAAGATGGGCCTGTTGGACAGCATCTCAGCCAGGATGCAGCCCACTGACCAGATATCAATGGACTTGGAGTAGCCCTGAACAACTCACACAGTTAGAACAAACACATTAATTCACATACACACTATCAAAGGACTAGGAGTAGCCCTGACAGAGAAAACATGGTCTACAGACATGGAATCAATGCACACACACACCTTGGAGTTGAGCATGATCTCGGGGGCCCTGTACCAGCGCGTAGCCACGTACTCTGTCAGGAAGCCTGTGTGGTCATGCTCTGGGTCAGCTATCCGTGCCAGCCCAAAGTCACAGATCTGACAGAGGAGGGTCGTTAAAAGAAGCATGCAGACATGTACACACAATGACCTGGGGTGTAATCATTAGTCCAAACACTTGCTTACATTTACATTACATTTAAGTCATTTAGCAGACGCTCTTATCCAGAGCGACTTACAGTTAGTGAATATATATATATTTTTTTTTATACTGGCCCCCCGTGGGAATCGAACCCACAAACCTGGCGTTGCAAACGCCATGCTCTATCAACTGAGCTACATCCCTGCCGGCCATTCCCTCCCCTACCCTGGACGACGCTGGGCCAATTGTGCGCCGCCCATGAGTCTCCCGGTCGCGGCCGGCTGCGACAGAGCCTGGATTCGAACCAGGATCTCTAGTGGCACAGTTAGCACTGCGATGCAGTGCCTTAGACCACTGCGCCACTCAGGAGTACGAGAGTTTGCTTGAAACGAGAGTTTGTATTGGACAAATTCAGTTAAGTCCCTCCTCGTTTTGTTTACTTCCACTTAAGAAACGTTTTGCAACAGATTCGGCGGAATAAATACACCCCTGTTCATGCCAGCAAATCCCCACTACGCCCTCTTCTGGTTAAGATCAATCTATACAGTATAGAGTAGATCATTTTCTTCACAAGATGGACCCTAACCACCGGTCCAAGGTTAGATATCCCCACTCCCAAATGGTTAGGGTTATGATTGGGTGATAGCTAGGGTAACCAGGGGCGTATTCATAAGGGTCTCAGAGAAGAAGTGCCTCCTGTCCATTAATTGACAAGGCAAAACTGACCCTAGAACAGCACTATTACTCTGAAACGCTTTATAAATATCGGCCCTGGTCTTAGATCAATGGATAGGGGGTAGCTAACCATGCCTTGAGGTCACAGTTAGGGTAAGTAGTAGTAGTATTGCAGTTATAGGGTTGGGGTTAGCAGTAGTAGTATTGCAGATATAGGGTTAGCAGTAGTATTGAAGTTATAGGGTTAGGGTTAGTAGTAGTATTCTGGTTATTATTACCTTGAGGTCACAGGTGGTGTTGATGAGCAGGTTGGAGGGCTTGAGGTCGCGGTGCAGCACGTTGGCAGAGTGGATGTACTTCAGGCCTCTCAGGATCTGGTACAGGAAGTAGCAGGTGTGGTCGTTACTCAACATCTGGGTCTTCAGGAGCTTGTACAGGTCTGTCTCCATCAGGTCCTGCACTATGTAGCTGGGAATCAAGGGGTTAAGGAGCCTAACGAACAGAGAGGGACCCAACCCTAACCCATGTTATTCTGTTAGATCTAAGCTTGTAAAGGTCTGTCTCCATGAGGTTCAGTACTATACCGCTGGGAACCAGCAGGTGGCGCCATTCAAGGGGCCAACAGTGGATGAGGAGGCATATGACAGTTACAGGCACTACAGGCCAACATCCACATATCCATTTGAACCTGACTGTAACCAATTCCATGTGTTAAGTGTGAATTTTTGGTGGAGTTTCAGAAAGCATAAAGGTCTTTACACACCCATCGTAATATCTCCTAGTTCCCCGTGTATAGCTAATATTCACTTCCAGTAATTTCCGCTCTGGCGCAGGACCAATTAATTTGTTTATTTTCCAATGCTTCTGCATGGAATTACTAAATTTTCTTACCCTTTGTTTTCATCAAGGAAATACTGAGCTCATGCAAAACATTTAGGGACTGTACGTTATTTATAAATGAGGGATACCTGGAGAAAATCGGACCTCTCTGAAATGAAAATGGATGGCCCTCCCTTCAGTAAAATATATTTGTACCCGATCCTCCCTGAACACGTAAAAAAGTGACCCTCCCCTATACCCTAAATAATAATTAAAACAAGGTGGATAGCAGAGAACATGTTTACCCTCACTCCTAGGACAGACCAGAGCCTTAGATATGCAGTTTTAGAAACGTATGTGTCTCGTAAACATTACATAGCAGCGTAGCAATTTTGATAGTGCGCAGGGCTGCAGGCCAGAAGGTTATGGGTTTGCAGACCACAGCGGACAAGGGTAGGGGGTGAAAATATCTACTTTATAATAAAAGCATTGCAGAAATCTAGCATGGTATTTGCAGGTCCGAGAAAAACTAGCCTTTGATAAACCCATTTCATGCAACTCTACCTCATTTTACATGACTGGAGACAAGCAGTACATATTTTTTAATACCACACCAGAGCATGTGAGCTGAGTGGAGCGAGGAGCCATGCTTGCGTAATTTTGCAGGTGAGTGGAGCTGATGTAAAAAAATAAATAAAAAATAAATAAAAATAAATAAAGAGCGTTGACCTTCTCTCCCACTCCAATTTCAATCCGGGTACTGTTCAGCCATGAGCGCTGAGCATGCACTACCCAGCATATTTTGGTTCCTTTATCACTATTATTTTAAATTAGGCCTATTCTGCTGTATTTATTTAGCCTTCCCCCACCATTAGTAATGTACTAGTAATGTGCAGAGATCACACACACAGAGAGAGACAGACAGTTTCCCCATTAGCCTCGGTCTCTGATTCAGAGGGGTTGGGTTAAATGTGGAAGACACATTTCAGTTGAATGCATTCAGTTGTACAACTGACTAGGTATCCCTTCTTTCCCTTTCTTTTCTGGGTAAAAGAATACACGTCCCTCATGCACTCGATGCGGCGGGCCCTCAGGATGTCGTTGATGCCGATGATGTTCTCATGGCGGAACCGCAGCAGGATCTTGATCTCCCTCAGGGTGCGCTGACAGTAAGTCTGGTGCTCAAATGGACTGATTTTCTTAATGGCCACGCGAGAATCTGTCATGCCGTCATGGGCCGAGCTGGGTTGGGTGGAGGAGAGAGAAGATAGAGGGAGAGATATGGGAGAGTTAGGAGACAGAGCGAAATAGGATGGAGAGAGAGACAGGGAGAGAGTTAGGAGACAGAGCGCGAGATAGGATGTAGAGAGGGACAGGGAGAGAGGAGACAGAGAGCGAGATAGGATGGAGAGAGAGACAGGGAGAGAGGAGACAGAGAGCGAGATAGGATGGAGAGAGGGACAGGGAGAGAGTTAGGAGACAGAGCGAGATAGGATGGAGAGAGAGACAGGGAGAGAGGAGACAGAGAGCGAGATAGGATGGAGAGAGAGACAGGGAGAGAGGAGACAGAGAGCGAGATAGGATGGAGAGAGAGACAGGGAGAGAGTTAGGAGACAGAGAGCGAGATATGATGGAGAGAGAGACAGGGAGAGAGTTAGGAGACAGAGCGAGATAGGATGGAGAGAGAGAGAAAGATGGGGGGGGGGGGGGGTAGAGCGAGATGAGAGAGATGGGGAAGAGAGGGCTCCAGTTACAACACAATAAGCCCAGCACATTACATATGACATGGCAGTTCTTTATAATACTGACACAGTGATGACTGACACCTGAGCATGAGCACAATGAGACGACCAACTAAGAGGAACCATTGCAGAAGAGGGGTTTGGCTCTATTTGACAACATAGCAAATAAAACTGTCAAGGAAATGTAAAAGTTCTTGAGCCATTAAAAATAAAAAATATTCGGGTCTATAAACTATTCAGAGTGTGGTGTGCATGCAATGGTGTGCCAGAGGTAGATAAACTGTTGATACTGCATATAGCTGGAGCTGTAAAGTGTAGTATCCTCTTGGATAAAAGGACCAATGAAAACATCTGAAATCGAGCTTAACTCCATCTTTGATCTCGCTTAAACAATTCTCACGCGCACCTTGTGCACTGTGCAACATTGCACAGAAAACCTCGCGAGACATTTTCTACTAGAAAACAAGTGTTATCGTCATTATCATCAGTGAGGTTGGTTAACTAAAAAGCTAGTAACAGTAGGCCCATCAAAAAACGACTCAAACTGTGTGAACGTTGGACTGTTTATACTGTATCAAGATTACAAAGACCTGCGCAATCACTTCCTGTATTGAAAAAGAATTTGGCAGCCTCATAATAACCACGCCTATTAGCGACTTAGCTAGCTAATTGTACGCTAACGTTGTTAGCTAGCAAGTTAGCCTGCGGTTATTATATAGCTAGTTAGTTTGCAAACTAGCTAGATAGCGTTGTTTACCACAATTTACTACAAATGACGTATGCTGTGTCTTGTAGAAACTAGATTGTTCATTTTATGCAATTGCGCACGTTACTGGGATACAATAGCGGGAATCAGGACATACTAAAACCACAACGCGTAACGTAAGTCGCTCTGGATAAGAGCGTCTGCTAAATGACGTAAATGTAAATGTAACGTTAGCTAGCTAGTAGCTACCTACTAACCTAACTACTAGTGTAGCTAGCTAAGTGAGCCAAACGCTGGCAATCTGTTGCTACCTAGCCAGTTAACTACGTAGAAATAGTTTCTCACTACCAGTGGTAACGTTAAGTGCAATTGAATACACAACAAGGGTAGGTGCAGAATTGTGCGTTTACAGCTAGATAGTTGTTATTATGTCAATGAAAAGGCGATATGAGGAGGCAGGGAGTTAGCCAACGCCTTCAGACGAAGCTTAGCTGGCTTGTTTTTTTATACTGAAGTCAACGTTTTTACGGCGAACGTCGTATATTTTCTCTTACCAAACCATTCCGTAGGCCCCTTCCCCGATGTACGAGAGGTTGACATAACGGGGGCCAACGTCAAAGTTCTGCCCCTTTACCACCTCCAACACGGGCTTGATCCCCGCAGCTCCAGTCGCTCCCTCCGGCGCAACAGCCCCGGCGGCACCAGTATTCGAGCCTATGGCTCCAGCCGCCGCAGCACTGTTGCTCGAATCCGCCATGATTCAGTCTAGAAATCTACTATTTTCAGTCAATATTTGGGAGGGGGCCTGGCGCAACTCTAAAATTGACTTCAGGTTGATTGGAAGGTTAAATATATTTCCTTGTTTCGTTGACGGATGAAGACGAGTCGATCAAGGCCCCCCTCCAGAGTGTGTAAATGGATTCGTTTCTAGTTCTTCGTCGTAGTCTTCTTTGCTTTGGAGTTTCAGCAGCGGTTGACATCCCAACTATGATGCGTTACTGACACCATCTGGATGGCAGGCTGAATAGAAAAATTAAAACAACCCAAATAAAAGTGATCCAATGTGATGTTGATTGTGATAAAACCTTTATTTCCCCATTTTCCCCACACCCAGGACATTTTTTTTTTTATAACACATTTCACATTTACATTTTAGTCATTTAGCAGATGCTCTTATCCAGAGCGACATACATTTATTGCATTCATCTTAAGATAGCTGGGTGGGACAACTACATATCACAGTCATACTAAGTCATACACCATTCCAGTGGTGGGAAAAGTACCCAATTTTCATAATTGAGTAAAAGTAAAGATACCTTAATAGAAAATGTAATTATTTGTCTCGGGCTGTTGGTGGTTGATGCACTCGATTCAGCTGCCCTGCCTGCCGGGGACGCAAACTGTTAACATTTTTAACCATTTCATTTGTCTATACTAGGTACGAACACTGCCTTCCTGGCGGGCCCAGAGAGCAAATCAAGTGCACTATCGGTCTCCCACGGGCCAATCGGCTGGCTCAGATGACAGTGTTTGCAGTAATGTAGCAGGCATAAAAGAAAGCTACAGCAAAATTGATACTGTGAGATTTCAAAACGTTTAAAACCATGACTAGGGAGAGACTGTCAATGAATACAGCAAAGAGCTGCTGGTTTTATGAGTGAGTTCATGTTTAAGTTCTTACGCAGCACTGTCAACACTTTATATTCATCACTTTTATAAGCCATAAAAAAAATACGAGTTCTCCCTATTTTCACTCAGCGCTACAACAAGTACTGCAGAAGTAATAAATGAGTAGGAAAGTGTATCTATAGGCTTGCGTTGTTGTTATTATTAGCGACCCAATTTTTAATATCGAGGAATATTTCACTTTCTCTGTTCATAGGAGTAACAACATGAATTTGTGCATGAGGCAGAAATAATGCGGTGTGACTCGAGTTTCGCCATCATCTGGAAGACAGTGTCCCTTTTTGGTCAGTATCAGTGGAGGAAAGGGAGAGAGGAGGGATGTTGAGAGGCGGACCCACAGTCTGCTGCTCTCTCACTCCGCTGAGACTGACCATCAGATGCAGGCACCATCAGCCCAATAAAATAAAAAGCGAATTATTTAAATGTATGCTCACTCAGCTGTGCTTCACAAATAATGCAACAACGGATCTATTACCGGTGTGATCATATAGCCTACCTCAAATGTTGAAATATAATTTTTAAAAATGGCCCGAACAACAATGCATTGGCAGGGCAATTCAAGCAAAGCCAATATGCGGTGATAATGTATTGGGCCTATAGCTTACTGCACAAACCTCATTGCTACAGAACTGTTTTTAAATTGGTTAATAATAGGCTTACGTTTTTTAAGTCCTTAAAAAAAATCTGATCGATAGTTCTCAGCTTGCATTTTGACTCAAAGTGATCTTGACTCAGAAAAGGTTGGTGACCACTGTTCTAGAGTTTTAATAATAATAATATGCCATTTAGCAGACACTTTTATCCAAAGCGACGTACAGTCATGTGTGCATACATTTTTACGTATGGGTGGTCCCAGGGATCGAACCCACTACCCTGGCGTTACAAGCGCCATGCTCTACCAATTGAGCTACAGAGGACCAGCTACAGTTTTCCCTGTTAACACTATCAGCGTTTCCCTTTACTGTGGCAATTGTGATCAAATCAACGCAATATTAGCCACTTTCAATGCAACATACCGAAACAAAACAAACTATGCTAGAGATTTTGTTGTAGGCAGAACGCATCGGAGTAGGATTCTATTGCATTGACATGCACTACTCAGCCTGTACTCTACACAGACTGGTGTGGCATAAACAATCAGAGCTACAGTAGGCCTATATGCAAATAGACCATTGCCATATATGGATCTGTGCCATTTACTTTGAACTGGACTGTGTTTACAGCATAAGCGATCGTGAGTAGATGCACTTGCTAGTTAGTGAGTTATTAGCCCAGTTATAAATTATTTATAGTCAGTAATAGGGGAGCGATTGCTTCCTACACGAGCACAAAACATATCTATTTCTAAACATCTTTGAAAAGTGAGTCAGGTAAATAGCTTTTTTTTGTCTTAAAGGGGCAGTGTTGTATTTTGAGACAGGCTTGAATAAGCTAAGTAGCCATAATTTGTCTGATCCTCTGTAATAATGGTATGGGAATAATAATGCATTTTATTTTGTAAAGTGGTTCCTTGCATCAAACAACACAACAACATTTTCAGTCACCTCCTTGTCTGAAGGACAAGTGGATAAACAGGTTAATGTCAAGCCCTGCATTATGATCAAATAGCCACAGTAGCCTACATGGCCACTGTTAAAACTGTAACTTAAAGCGGGTACAGCCTCAGTGTTCATAGTAAACGCGCGCTGGAAGTTGCATAGAATTTTCACAATGTTCAAGTTTGCGCTCAGCAGACCTAAAATTTGCTCAGTGCCGAAAAAAAATAGAGGGAACATTGAAAGCAACCATATTGCTTAGGTAAGAATGTCTGTCACAAGTGCTTGGAGGGAGGGTCATGGCTAGAAGCTTTTGTCAAATTAACATCAGATTTGACTTTTCGTAGCAGGTTAGGATAATTAACATAGCAAGTTAGGAGAATTATGTTAAGGTTAGGAAAATGGTTAAGGTTAGCTAAAATGCAAAAAATCTGCTTTTGACGTTTATTTGACAAAAACTGGATCCCTTCTAGTCATGACTGGGAGGGAGGGTAAGGGACTAAGCTGGGGATAATTTGGGATCAAAACAAAGATTTTTATAACTAACCCAAGATTGATCAAACTTTCGCAAAGGGTAAAGTCTACAAAACGTAGTCCACTCTGTTTTTAACAAATTATAGTTTTGGGAACAAAAAACTGTATTGAGATCAAATGTTTAATTGATGAGAAAATTAGCAGAATGTCAGCCAAAATCAATCTCGCTCCATCTTCTCCCACTGCCGGCCACTGGGCTTCCTCTCATCACCATATTTGGTAGTGAGTGGAAATGCCTTCTTCTTCTTGTGAATTTCTGGGAAAGATGCTTTTTGGCGGATTACCGCCTTTCTCAGTTCGGAATGTGCATTCCACATTGTGACAAAAAATAAATCAATAAATACAGGACAAAGGGGAATGGGAATTGCTCCACCATCTTACCCTGCACCTATACACTTTCCCAAAAAACCCACCACCCCATCCCACTATTTGGTCCTGGAAGGATGGAACCCCTTCTCTCAAAACTTCCTGTAGATCTTCTGCACTAAAATCTCTCACACCCAAATATTTCTCTGCTGCTGCAACTACCACATCTATCTTCTCTGATTTCCGCTCGATCATTGCAGTTCAGTTGATCACAATGGCTATAAACGCAAGAAATCCAACGTTATTAAAACTCTCTGGCTCTCGCTCTTCAGGCCTACTCACTGGGGGCCTCCCAGTCGACTCACTCACCCTCAGGCTATCCTCTACTCTCTTCACTGCCTCGGCATAGGAAACTTTCTGCCCCACTCGAACTCTAGCAATCTCAACCTGTCTCTCTCTCACAGGGCACTTCGGATCCCCAGCTGCATGGGCACCTCCACAGTTGACACAGTGCTTTCTCTATCCCAACTGTACACTCCCTCTGACTATGCCCTCCTGTATATTTCTCACATTGTGGGATCTCCCTTCTACACACTGCTTCAACATGTCAGAATCCTTAGCACCTAAAGCACCGAAGCGGGTTCGGAACATAGGCCCTCACAGAATAGCAAATATAACCTAACCTGACCTTATCAGGAAGAAACTCTGTATCAAAGCTCAACAAGACAAACAGGGTATTCTCAGTCTCGCCATTGCCACCGGGTCTACGTCTCACCAAACGGTGGGCGTCACAAACACTAGGAATATTTATTTTCATTTGATCCACCTCTACACTCAACGCTACCCCAATGATCACCCCTTTTAGTGGTGCACTGCTCCGGAGAGCAAAGCACACCACAGGTTGAGCCCCGAGCCGCGTGACTCGAAGCGTCTGCTTCGTCTGGGAGGCGGATAAACAAAAAAACGAAACAATTCCGAATTATCTACATTTTCCCGGTTTGTCCTTTACCCAGTCCGACACAATGTATGGGTCGGCCAAAAAGCAGGAATACAATCTTTCCAAAAATCATCTCTGGAAGGATTTTCAGGGCAAACATTCAAAGTTTCCACTGAAAGTCTCCACTACACCAAGTAGGCCCTGTTCATCCTGGACTGGCTCAACCTCAGAGTGCTCACCACTGCCGTCGGACTCCATTTGAGATCATCAAGGTTTTCAAGAGAGCATGAAGACCTACATATAAGATTACTTTGTCTGAAATCAGGAGATGTAGGTATGTACACCTTGAACGAAGGTGTAAACTCAGGAGATGAATCTCTGATCTTAACAGCGCCATTCTTACACTTTCACGTCATCGCACCTCCTCCGTCCGTCTCGTGTTTCTTCTCTTTCCTCAAATCTGTATCCCGCCAAAGATGATGGATATACTGACAAGATACATGTCTCTCCGCCCTAACAACGAGAGTCGTTGTCCACAAAGTGGCACAGTGGGCTGTCTAGCTATCCTTTCTTTGGATTGGTGGATACATCTAATTATTCTAATCATTTTTTGAATATTTGATGAGGGTTGTTGACGTCAACCGCCTGTATTCAATGGAGAGAGATTCTATGCTACTGGCCTCATACCATGAATATACATAGCCATCTTGAGACAACTCCAATATAAAGACTATATAACAACTCAAGCATTATGAAACTTCTATTCGATCAAATAAACCTCACATAGCAAATAAGACATACCTTTTTTGGGGGACCAAATTCGACACTCATTTACCTCCATACAAAAACTCTGCTTGGTGGGCGAAACAATGGAAAAACGCCACCTGCTGGAGGGAGACAGATTTTCCGCCGAGTTGGGCCTCTCTCGTTCAATTCAATTTCAATTTAAGGGCTTTATTTGGTATGGGAAATGTATGTTAACATTGCCAAAGCAAGTGAAGTAAATAGTAAACAAAAGTTAAATAAACAATAAATATGAACAGTAAACATTTCACTCAGAAGTTCCAAAAGAATAAAGACATTTAAAATGTCATATTATGTATATATACAGTGTTATAATGATGTGCAAATAGTTAAAGTACAAATGGGAAAATAAATAAACATAAATATGGGTTGTATTTACAATGGTGTTTGTTCTTTACTGGTTGCCCCTTTCTTGTGGCAACAGGTCACACATCTTGCTGCTGTGATGGCACACTGTAGTATTTCACCCAGTAGATAAGGGAGTTTATCAAAATTGGGTTTGTTTTCGAATTCTTTGTGGATCTCTGTAATCTGAGGGAAATATGTGTCTCTAATATGGTCATACATTTGGCAGGAGGTTAGGAAGTGCAGCTCAGTTTCTACCTCATTTTGTGGGCAGTGTGCACATAGCCTGTCTTCTCTTGAGAGCCAGGTCTGCCTATGGCGGCCTTTCTCAATAGCAAGGCTATGCTCACTGAGTTTGTACATAGTCAAAGCGTTCCTTAAATTTGGGTCAGTCACAGTGGTCAGGTATTCTGCCACTGTGTACTCTCTGTTTAGGGCCAAATAGCATTCTAGTTTGCTCTGTTTTTTTGTTAATTCTTTCCAATGTGTCAAGTAATTCTCTTTTTGTTTTCTTGTGATTTGGTTGGGTCTAATTGTGTTGTTGTTGTTGTTGTCCTGGGGCTATGTGGGGTCTGTTTGTGTTTGTGAACAGAGCCCCAGGACCAGCTTACTTAAGGGACTCTTCTCCAAGTTCATCTCTCTGTAGGTGATGGCTTTGTTATGGAAAGTTTGGGAATCGCTTCTTTCTCTTCCTCTCTGATCCTGCTCTCGTGTCTAAACCACCAATTGGAAACGCTAACCTGATGCTTCAGATTTATACATCCGGTGAAACATCTGGCTCATTGTTCTATTTGTGATCAAAGACTGGGCGCTGACGTCATGACAACATGCGGAAGCAGAAACAAACGTTGACACCAAAGACAGTACAGTCACAGATCGAACAATGAGCCAGATATTTTACCAGACGTTTACGTGTGAAGCATCCGGGTGGCGGTTCCACTCACTACCAAATATGTTGATGAGAGGAAGCCCAGTGGCCGGCAGTGGGAGAAGACGGAGCGAGATTGATTTTGGCAGACGTTATGCTAAATTTCACATCGATGAAACATTTGATTTCAATAGTTTTCTGTTCATCAAACTACAATCTGCTACGAACAGAGTGGACTAAGTTTTGTCGATTTTACCTGTTGCCAAAGTTTTAAAAAATTGCGTTGTTTAGAAGGAGTGCAAGGGCGAATTTATTTATTGCACACGCGCACTGCACAGAGTAGATGTTCCTTGACAGAAATATGCAAATTCATGCTAGAACGCGCCAATAGGATCTCGCTAGCTCGTGCTTGGCTCTGCCCCCTCCTTTCTTGTTCTGCCCACTATGACTCAGTTGTTCCCATTGGAAAGGACAGCCTGTGGTCTATCTGGGGTTAGTTAGACACATCTTTTGGACACTCTGTTGAAACTGAATGAAACGTCGAATCATATGAGCAAATGTAGCTTCCAAATTATTTCAGATTGCGCCGTCTGCAACAACACTAAAATATTCCTATACGATTTGGTGCGCTCCTTTTTTAAAAGCAGCGGGCTTTGACTGTATTTCCTGCTTGCTGCAGCATTATCAGTGTGTATACACGACTGTACTGTGTTGACTAACTGGTTATGATACGAGTGGGACGAAACTGGGTTGGGCCGATTCGAATAGCACTTACCCTTTTAGGATATCCATATTGCCTCTGCACCTCAGGAATCAGGTATGGAATCATTCTGAAGTAATTTTGGAGACCTATGATCATTCTATTCGTATCATTAGGTAGTTATCTGTTCTTTTCACCTTCTGTAGACTGCTATTGCCTTGTTGTCTGCATTGCATCTACTCTCTGTTTTATGTTACTATTGTCATACATTGCTAAGGTTACTTCAAATGTTAGTTTTAGATATTAAATCTCTCTCCCTCCCCAGGCCTCCCACCTCATGCTCTCCTGACCAGTTTTCTGCCAGAGTTAGTAAAAGCCTCAGTACCAGTACTGCCTATAGTCTGTGTGTGCTACCGCCCAGTGTCTTCACCATGCCCTCCTCGGCCCCTCACAGCAAGGCCAGATGCCCAAAGTACCCCGGCTCAGAGACACAGCGGTTCCCAGTGCCTGATGACAAAGTTGACTGGAAGACCGACTGGCCCCAGTACAGCCCAGTGAGCTACACTGCCACGTCTGTGCTCATCAAGCCTGTATGGGCAGATCAGGACATCGGGTGAGTGAGAGAGAGAGGGTTACAAATCCATTTTGTCATCTGTTTTACTGACATTAATATTAAACTAAGTGATTAGTTGAATATTAATGATTATTAAGAATTATTACAATGTTGTATTATTTCACAGGTCTTTCTCCCCGCGGTTTAACGCTCTGGATGGCAATGTGGACAGGCGGAGTCACGAGGGAGACTACAGAGTGGAGCAGGGCATGCCACTGTGAGCCTTCATCCAATACAGTTCTACAATGGTGACCCTCAGCAAGATGACATCAAAATACACAACTTCCTACTTACAGACAACATCAACAGCATTCAAATATGGCAAGGATGCCATTATTGGCTCAAATTGTGGAAATCCCCAAGAAAATCAGTCTTAGCAGATTTGAATTCTGTTGATGCTGATGTCATCTTACTGAGTGTATCTTTAAAATCTCCAACATAATACTTGACTTGTAAACATGAGCTGTCAGAAGCAGCTGTGGCAAATGTGTGACCCTATTCAATCATTGACTAGCCAATGATAAGCTAGCATTCTGCAGCATGTTACTAAGTAGTGTTTTGCTACAGAGTTCTACATGTACACTACCGGTCAAAAGTTTTAGAACACCTACTCGTTCAAGGGTTTTTCTTTATTTTTACTATTTTCTACATTGTAGAATAACAGTGAAGACATCAAAACTATGAAATAACACATCATGTAGTAACCAAAAAAGTGTTAAACAAATCAAAATATATTTTATATTTGAGATTCTTCAAATAGCCACCCTTTGCCTTGATGACAGCTTTGCACACTTTTGGCATTCTTTCAACCAGCTTCATGAGGTAGTCACCTGGATTTCATTTAAATTAAAAGGTGTGCCTTCTTAAAAGTTAATTTGTGGAATTTCTTTCCTTAATGCGTTTGAGCCAATCAGTTGTGTTGTGACAAGGTAGGGGGGTATACAGAAGATAGCCCTATTTGGTAAAAGACCAAGTCCATATTATGGCAAGAACAGCTCAAGTAAGAAAAGAGAAATGACAGTCCATCATTACTTTAAGCATGAAGGTCAGTTAATATGGAACATTTCAAGAACTTTGAATGTTTCTTCAAGTGCAGTCACAAAAACCAACAAGCGCTATAATGAAACTGACTCTAATGAGGACCGCCACAGGAAAGGAAGACCCAGAGTTACCTCTGTTGCAAAGGATAAGTTCATTAGAGTTGCCAGCCTCAGAAATTGCAGCCCACATAAATGCTTCACAGAGTTCAAGTAACAGACACATCTCAACATCAACTGTTCAGAGGAGACTGTGTGAATCAGGCCTTTGTGGTCGAATTGCTGCAAAGAAACCACTACTAAAGGACACCAATAAGAAGAAGAGACTTGCTTGTGCCAAGAAACACGAGCAATGGACATTAGACTGGTGGAAATGTGTCCTTTAGTCTGGAGTCCAAATTTGAGATTTTTGGTTCCAACCGCCGTGTTTTGTGAGACGCGGTGTGGGTGAACGCATTATCTCTGCATGTTTATTTCCCACCGTAAAGCATGGAGGAGGAGGTGTTATGGTGTGGGGGTGCTTTGCTGGTGACACTATCAGTGATTTATTTAGAATTCAAGGCACACTTAACCAGCATGGCTACCACAGCATTCTGCAGCGATACGCCATCCCATCTGGTTTGGGCTTAGTGGGACTATCATTTGTTTTTCAACAGGACAATGACCCAACACACCTCTAGGCTGTGTAAGGGCTATTTTACCAAGAAGGAGAGTGATGGAGTGCTGCATCAGATGACCTGGCCTCCACAATCCCCCGACCTCAACCAAATTGAGATGGTTTGGGATGAGTCGGACCGCAGAGTGAAGGAAAAGCAGCCAACAAGTGCTCAGCATATGTGGGAACTCCTTCAAGATTATTGGAAAAGCATTCCAGGTGAAGCTGGTTTGATTGAATGCCAAGAGTGTGCAAAGCTGTCATCAATGCATGGGGTGGCTATTTTAAGATTGTTTAAACACTACTTTGGTTAATACATGATTCCATATGTGTTATTTCATTGTTTTGATGTCTTCACTATTATTCAACAATGTAGAAAATAGTAAAAAATTAAGAAAAACCCTTGAATGAGTAGGTGTTCTAAAACATTTGACCGGTAGTGTATATGAACTCATATCAATTTAAAATAATTGATTGTGTAGCAATTCATCATACATAAGCTAACTCTCGTCCCCCTCTAGAAATCCTCGCGGCCGCACTGGTTTGACTGGGAGAGGTTTGCTGGGACGGTGGGGACCCAATCACGCAGCAGATCCCATTGTTACCAGGTAACTTTCCCACTTTATTCCATCATCTCTTAAACTATGCAACTACTTTTCAGATAACTTAACCATAACCTTCCCACAAACTCTCTTTAAAGTAAAACCAACTCCTGTGCCCAATTTGGGCCACCCCCTAGGCAATAGCTAATAGGTGTAAGCAATATGGTAGTATCCAGGGTTGGGGTCAATTGCATTTCAATTCCAGTCAATTCAGAAAGTAAACCAAATTATAAATGTTCCTAATTGAAAATCATTTGAATTTCAGTGTACTTCCTGGATTGACTGGAATTTAAATGGAATGGCCCCCAACCCAGGTAGCTCCACCCTGACCTTGACCTCTGAAAGGCTATGTAGAATTCTCGCCATATTGGTTACAACCCTCTCAGAAGTGCCTATGAGCCTCAAACTCAACTCTGTACCTCGAAGCCAGTGCCACTGCATTTTTTCATTGTTCCCCTCTAATCAGGGACTGATTTAGACCAGGGACACCAGGTGTGTGCAATTATTTATCAGGTAGAACAAAAAACCAGCAGGCTCCGGACCTCATAGGGTAAGAGTTACCCCTGGCCTATGGCGTTAGGGGTAGATTTGCGTACTGTTGTCTCCGTAGTTTAACCTTTCTCTACTGTATGTGCCACCGCCCTACAGGTGGAAGAGAGACTCAGCTGGACAGCAAGTGTCGCACCCAGTGTCCAAACTGCCAGTTCTGCAGTTTGTGTCCATCAAGAGGAGAGACTGTGGGGAATGGGCCATCCCAGGGGTCAGTGGGATTCTTTAAACTCCTTCCTTCCTCCCTCCTCTGTCTAAACTGCTCTTCCCTCCTCTTTCTCACCTACTCCTCCCTCCTCTTCCTCACCTGCTCCTCCATCCTCTTCCTCACCTACTCCTCCCTCCTCTTCCTCACCTGCTCCTCCATCCTCTTCCTCACCTGCTCTGAACATCTGTATCATCTTGGCCTTCTTGGGAGCATAGGGCATCAACCATGGCTCTACACCTCACCTCACCGTATTCGTATGGATGATGACTGTGTGTGTGTAGGGTATGGTAGACCCGGGGGAGCTGGTGTCCCTCACCCTGCAGCGTGAGTTCTCTGAGGAGGCTCTGAACTCCCTGGCAGCTTCCCCCCAGGACAGAGAGCGGATCCACAAGCACATCACTCAGCTGTTCAACTCGCCAGGTCTGGAGGTCAGCAGGCTAGAAATAATTTATCCTCATATATTTCTTTTCATTTTGTATTCGCTTGTGTAGTTGACGTAAAACACTTCGTTTTCTTTCTCTCTCTATGTCCCTCTTCTACTTCTCAGGTTTATAAGGGCTATGTAGATGACCCAAGAAATAATGACAACTCTTGGATGGAAACAATTGCTGTCAACTTCCATGATGATACAGGTATATCAATGATTACTCTTACAATATTATAGACACTGATAAACAACAAGTTAAGGCAGTCTTATCTATGTGGGAATTTTTTTTGACTAAATTCAATGAAAACAATCAGGATGTGGCTCTTCTTACAGCAGGATAGCGTGCAACATGTTTCCTTATTCTTTCATTTTCCCCCATTCTGCTCTTTATTTGTACACACATTGCAGTTCTCTGAAATATAGATTTTTGCTCTGGTTACCTAGGGAACAGTGTGAGCGAGCTCCCATTGCAAGCAGGAGATGATGCCGGGCAAGTCCACTGGATCGACCTTGACTCCATGCTATCCCTCTATGCAAGCCACTCCCATTTCTTGGAGGTGGTCGCCAAGGAGAGGCATGCTCACTGGTAACCAAGGAAACCGTGTTTGACCGAAGGACTAAGATGATTCGTACTGATGTTGGTGCAAGGTTGAGTAGAATATAATGATGGAATTATGAGACACTGTCCTCGCATTCAAGAGGATTGGCCCGAGCAAGGCCCTGCAGCATAATCACTATGTTTCGGCATCATGGCCTTCATCAGGGAGTCACAAAGAAACAATGAGAGCATTTCTTCTTTTGAACAAACCATTTTCCCATCAGCCCTGATTAAAGAGGGAGTGGTTACATAGTTGTCATTGGTGGACACCACATAGTAAACAGTAAAAAGCAATAGGTAATATACATTCTAAATATATATACTATTAAAATGCATATTAAGGTTAGAAGCATTAGAAACGTCTAAGTAGTTATGGCCTTGAATATGGAAGGACAAAAAAGATATATAGTGAGAAGAGCCATACATTTCAAAGATCACTAGATGGCAGCGAATATGGACCACAATAGATAAAACATAGAAAAGGGTAATACGGCAAAAAATAGACCACAAAGTAGTTATAGCAAACTAGGACCCTACAGAAATGGTGAGAAATACATTAATGTCCTTCCATATTCAATAATAATATAATATGCCATTTAGCAGACGCTTTTATCCAAAGCGACTTACAGTCATGCTTGCATACATTTTTGTGTATTGGTGGTCCCGGGGATCGAACCCACTACCTTGGCGTTACAAGCGCCGTGCTCTTCAAGGCAAGAACTACTTAGACCTCTAATGTTTCTAACCTTAATATGCATTTTGATAGTATATATATTTAGAATGTATATTACCTATTGCTTTTTACTATGTGGTGTCCACCAATGACTACTCTGTAACCACTCCTCCTTTAATTAGGGCTGATGGGAACATGGTTTGTTCAAAAGAAGACATGCTCTCATAGTTCCTTTGTTACTCCCTGATTCTGAAACGCGTCTGAGTTTAACTTTTGCTTCAATTGAAAATGCCATAATAAAAAATAAAGGCATTTGAAACTATATCGGTCTATTTTGTTTTTTGATGAAGCCAAGTGTTATGTAAACACATATCAATTATTATATTTGGGCTTTTATTGTCTTTGCCAGGGTGAACAACATGCCTGTCTGTGTGACATAACCATGTGTCTATTCCCACCTTCAAAACATTTTTATGAAAATACACTCATGTGAAATGACCAATGTACACTGAGTATACCAAACATTAGGAACACCCTCCTAATATTGAGCTGCGCACCCCTTTCGCCCTCAGAACAGCCTCAATTTACCAGGGCATGGAATTTACAAGGTGTCAAGAGTTCCACAGGGATGCTGGCCCATGTTGACTCCAACGCTTCCCACAGTTATGTCAAGTTGTCTGGATGTCCTTTGGGTTGTGGATCATTCTTGATACACAAGGGGAACTGTTGAGCTTGAGAAACCCAGCAGAGTTGCAGTTCTTGACACAAACCGTTGCGCCTGGCACCTACCATACCCCATTCAAAGGCACTTAAATATTTTGTCTTGCCCATTCACCCTTTGAATCCGCTGGTGCTAGACATACAGGCTGAATGACATTCAGACTGCAAATGTCTGTTCAAATTGGTTGATCTCTTCATTTGATCAGACATTAGCTAGCTATCTAACTCACCACTGTCGGCATCGATGTACAACTGATGACAATTCCGTAAAATGCGTTCATCGCAAGACACACTTCCAGATAACGAGTCGGCATTTGCTGCGCTTCGGTGATTTTTATGAAATAGTGGTATATATGTGTATGGTGAGTTGGTGGTGTAATTTTTCCCCCTTCCTTTTTTTGTATCACAAAATGTAACATGACTGACCACACACTACTGCACAGTAAGTGATGGCATGCACAAAAAAAATGTGCGAACGACAGCATACAAAAGAAGAACCAGGAACTACACTACCCGAAAGGCTTTGCGTATACTGATTGAAGACGTGGCTCCGACGTTCCTCTACAACGGACCGGGGTGTTTAAATTTAAACTGAGTAAGAAGAGGGGCTTTTTAGATCAATCTGACATTTAATGAGTAGCTAGCTAATACTTTTATAGTTTAAAGCAACATTCATTATTTTCATTGATGCGTTTGGATTAACGTTTTGGAATGTCTGGGAAAATCAAGAGCCGAAGCGCAGCAAATGCCGACTCGTTATCTGGAAGTGTGTCTTGCGATGAGCGCATTTTACGGGACTGTCATCAGTTGTACATCGATGCCGACAGTGGTGAGTTAGATAGCTAGCTAATGTCTGATCAAATGAAGAGATCAACCAATTTGAACAGACATTTGTAGTCTGAATATCATTCAGCCTGTATGTCTTGCTAGCTATTTTTGGTATGACTCATTGATTATGACTAACGCGTTAGCTAGTAGCTAGCTAGCACCAACGGACGCTAACGTTACGTTAAATGGGAAATCCATAGTTTAAGGTGTGCCAGAGTGAGTGAACGCGATTTAGTGATACTTTAATTTCCTTATGTTATAAAATACATTTTACGAAGACAAATCAGACGTTGGGACTATAAGGTTCTATCTTCACAAAGCATAGTTCTGAGCAGGGCTGGCTCCAGGCATAAGCAACATAAGCGGTGGTTTAGAGCAGGGTTTCCAAAACTCGGTCCTGGGGCCCCTGCTGGGTGCACGTTTTGGTTCTTGCCCTAGAACTACACAGCTGATTCAAATAACCAACTCACCATCAAGCTTTGATTATTTAAATCAGCTGTGTAGTACTAGAGCAAAAAACCAAATGTGCACCCGGGGGGATGTTGTCCCAGGACCGAGTTTGGGAAACCCTGGCCCCCAAATATGTTTTTGTATTTATTATTTTTCAATCTGGGTTCAGCCATAAGGTTATATCTGGCACAGAATGTTAAAATGATTTCAATTTTAATAGAAATGTACATACGTTTAATGGATTAAATAATCACATCAAATATATTAATTCATGTTCATCACACATTTGTTAACATTTACATTTTAGTCATTTAGCAGACGCTCTTATCCAGAGCGACTTACAGGAGCAATTAGGGTTAAGTGCCTTGCTCAAGGGCACATTTACGTCATTTAGCAGACGCTCTTATCCAGAGCGACTACAAATTGGTGCATTCACCCTATAGCCAGTGGGATAACCACTTTACAATTATACTTTTTTTTTTTTGGGGGGGGGGGGGGGGGGGGGGGTAGAAGGATTACTTTATCCTATCCCAGGTGTTCCTTAAAGAGGTGGGGTTTCAAATGTCTCCGGAAGGTGGTGAGTGACTCCGCTGTCCTGGCGTCGTGAGGGAGCTTGTTCCACCATTGGGGTGCCAGAGCAGCGAACAGCTTTGACTGGGCTGAGCGGGAACTATGCTTCCGCAGAGGAAGGGGAGCCAGCAGGCCAGAGGTGGATGAACGCAATGCCCTCGCCTGGGTGTAGGGACTGATCAGAGCCTGAAGGTACGGAGGTGCCGTTCCCCTCACTGCTCCATAGGCAAGCACCATGGTCTTGTAACGGATGCGAGCTTCAACTGGAAGCCAGTGGAGTGTGCGGAGGAGGGGGGTGAGGTGAGAGAACTTGGGAAGGTTGAACACCAGACGGGCTGCGGCATTCTGGATGAGTTGTAGGGGTTTAATGGCACAGGCAGGGAGCCCAGCCAACAGCGAGTTGCAGTAATCCAGACGGGAGATGACAAGTGCCTGGATTAGGACCTGTGCCGCTTCCTGTGTAAGGCAGGGTCGTACTCTCCGAATGTTGTAGAGCATGAACCTGCAGGATCGGGTCACCGCCTTGATGTTGGCGGAGAACGACAGGGTGTTGTCCAGGGTCACGCCAAGGCTCTTCGCACTCTGGGAGGAGGACACAACGGAGTTGTCAACCGTGATGGCGAGATCATGGAACGGGCAGTCCTTCCCCGGGAGGAAGAGCAGCTCCGTCTTGCCAGGGTTCAGCTTGAGGTGGTGATCCGTCATCCATACTGATATGTCGGCCAGACATGCAGAGATGCGATTCGCCACCTGGTTATCAGAAGGGGGAAAGGAGAAGATTAGTTGTGTATCGTCAGCGTAGCAATGATAGGAGAGGCCATGTGAGGATATGACAGAGCCAAGTGACTTGGTGTATAGGGAGAAAAGGAGAGGGCCTAGAACTGAGCCCTGGGGGACACCAGTGGTGAGAGCACGTGGTGCGGAGACAGCTTCTCGCCACGCCACTTGGTAGAAGCGATAGTTCCCTAAAATGACAAAAACACTATATCCTATGGATAAGAGCAAATTTATGCTTGAGACGAAAATGTGGTCGGAGGCGCTGTATGGAAAGCCATATCTCAGACTGGCCAATAAAAATAAAAGATTAAGATTGGCAGTCTGAGATATGGCTTTTTCTTTGCAACTCTGCCTAGGTCAGCATCGCGGAGTCGCCTCTTCACTGTTGACGTTGAGACTGGTGTTTTGCAGTTACTATTTAATGAAGCTGCCAGTTGAGGACCTGTGAGGCGCCTGTTTCTCAAAGTTGACACTCTAATGTATTTGTCCTGTTGCTCAATTGTGCACCAGGGCCTCCCACTCCTCTTTCTATTCTGGTTAGAGCCAGTTTGCGCTGTTCTGTGAAGGGAGTAGTACACAGCGTTGTACGAGATCTTCAGTTTCTTGGCAATTGCTCGCATGGAATAGCCTTCATTTCTCAGAACAAGAATAGACTGATGAGTTTCAGAAGAAAGTAATTTCTTTCTGGCCATTTTGAGCCTGTAATCGAACCAACAATTGCTGATGCTCCAGATACTCAACTAGTCTCAAGAAGGCCAGTTTTATTGCTTCTTTAATCAGCACAACAGTTTTCAGCTGTGCTAGCATAATTGCAAAAGGGTTTTCTAATGATCAATTAGTCTTTTAAAATGATAAACCTGGATTAGCAAACACAACGTGCCATTAGAACACAGGACTGATGGTTGCTGATAATGGGCCTATGTAGATATTCCATTAAAAATCAGCCGTTTCCAGCTACAATAGCCATTTCCAACATTAACAATGTCTACACTGTATTTCTGATCAATTTTATGTTATTTTAATGGACAAAAAAATTGCTTTTCTTTAGAAAACAAGGACATTTTTAAGTGACCCCAAACTTTTGAACGGTAGTGTGTGTGTGTATGTATGTATGTGTATATATACCTCGCATGCCACTCGTAATAAGACTAAGCAATTAGCCCATTAAATTAATGATCTTTATCAGACTCCATAGGATAAATAGGAATATGCAAGGAGACTTGAGTGACAGTTATAGGCAATGATGAAATGTCTGGGAATAGAATTCTAAATAAAAATGTATTTAATTACTTTGTGAAACAAATGGATTCACATACAAGGCATAAAGCTTAAGTTACAAGGCATTAACAAGCATTACAAGGCGTTATTCTAAGCATGGTCAGATAGAGAGGAATCATATCCTGAAAGGCCATGTCCCAAAAGTCCATGGGGTGGAGCGAGAAAGAATGAAATAAAGTATCTCATCACAGCAGGTCAGGAACAAATAAGAGAAAGAACAATTCATCTTAGACCCTTTCATAAGAATCTGAGTTGTTTGGATTCAAAACCTATGTTTTTGACCAATTGTATTACTGTAAAGTTAACCTCCAATCAGATACACTACATTACCAAAAGTATGCGGACACCTGCTCATCGAACATCTCACTCCAAAATCATGGGCGTTAATATGGAGTTGGTCCCCCCTTTGCTGCTATAACAGCCTCCTCTCTTTTGGGAAGGCTTTCCACTAGATGTTGGAACATTGCTGCGGGGACTTGCTTCCATTAAATCACGAGCATTAGTGAGGTCAGGCACTGATTTTGGGCGATTAGGCCTGGCTCGCAGTCAGCCTTCCAATTCAAAATGAAGATTTCCCTTCAATGGAACTGGGGCCTAGCCCGAACCATGAAAAAACAGCCCCTGACCATTATTCCTCCTCCACCAAACTTTACAGTTGGCACTATGCATTCAGGCAGGTAGCGTCGTTCTCCTGGCATCCGCCAAACCCAGGTTATTAAAAACTATTACAATAACAATACAGACAAACAATGAGCAGGGAGCACATGCAGAACAACATAGGACAAGCAACACGTAGCATGCAGACAGAGCAACCGCACAAAAAGCAACAACACAAAATCCATAAAAGCAACAGTGTTTCCACACCTCACAAGCCACAGATAACATGGAGAGCAGCAATACACAGCTAAGGATTATTGAAAGTCACTGAGCTCTTCAGTAAGGCCATTCTACTGCCAATGTTTGTCTATGGAGATTGCATGGCCGTGTGCTCGATTCTATACACCTGTGAGCAACGGGTGTGGCTGAAATAGCTGAATCCACTAATTTGACGGGGTGTCCACATACTTTTGTAAACATTTCGCTACACCCGCAATAACTCTTGGGCTCCCGAGTGGCGCAGCGGTCTAAGGCACTGCATCTCAGTGCTTGAGGCGTCACTACAGACCCCCTGGTTCGATTCCAGGCTGTATCACAACCGGCCGTGATTGGGAGTCCCATATGGCGGCGCACAATTGGCCCAGCGTCGTCCGGTTTGGCCGGTTTGGCCGTCATTGTAAATAACAATTTGTTCTTAACTGACTTGCCTAGTTAAATAAAGGTTAAATATATATATTTAATAACATCTGCTAAATAAATTATGTGTATGTGACCAATAAAATTTGATTTGATAGTGTATCAGACCTACATGATGTAACCTCTGCTTCTCAGAGAATGCTGAATTCTTAAAATTCTTGTATACAGTTGATAAGAGTCACTTTTGAACAGATTATGATAGAGACATGAGGTTTGGACCATTGATTTTCTTAGATGATTATCTACACAATTAACAAATTATTTTACTAATTGGTCAAAATATGCTTTTTTGGGGGGTACACGCTACTTAGTTGCTTATCTTGAAGAATATAACGTATAAATGCCTGAGCTTAGTTCAACAGTCGAACCCCATCAGAACCCTTGCATCCATAGCATAGTCTATGGATTTGAATTGGTTGTATTTCTCCAGCCACGTTCCTCAGCTTTTTACTGAAACTGTGGTGGGGAGGACACTTTGTTAATATTTCAATTAAGGATTTCCACTTTAACGTAACTACCGGCAGGAGTTGTTAGCAATAATTAGCTAGATTAGTTAGCTAGCTATAGCTTAGTGGCTAATACTAGTAAACTAACAAAGTTGATCAATCGGCATTATACGAAACTCATCAAATCGACGAGCAAGTTTACAGCTACTATTTATATCATAGCTAGCGAGCAAGTTTACAGCTAGTATTTATGTCATAGCTAGCTAGCCAATGTTAGCTTATCTAACGTTAACTAATTGTCCTGATCACATCTCTCATCTCCAATCTCTATTCTAGGCCTGGTAGCAGTGGCTCAGTCAGTTGGTGTGACTCTGCTGGCACCCAGGAAAAAGATCACAGTCATGTTGATGGGCAACCACTCTGCCGGCAAGAGCTCCTTCATCAATTGGTAATGTTCAATCAAATCATGGTTACCATTGACAACTCCAGAAGGGATGGAGAGAAGGATACACTTTGAAAAGTATTCCATCAGGAACTGGGACTTTTCCCTACACTGATGCTTACTGTCCCCTATGTTTCCTTTTGCTTCAAAGTCATTGTAATTATGTCCCATGGTCTATTTGTTAATGTGTTTGTGTGGACGTGTTTAACTATTCTTGTGGGGACCAGAAGTCCCCACAAGAATAGTAAACAATCAAACATTTTACCAACTGGGAACATTTTGTTAGTCCCCATGAGGTCAAATGATATTTCTAGGGGGTGTAGGGTTAAGGTTAGAATTAGTGTTTAGAGTTAGGGTTAGGTTTAGGGTTGGGGTTAAGGTTAGGTTTTTGGGTTAGGGTAAGAGTACGGGTTAGGGAAAATAGGATTTTGAATGGGACTTAATTGTGTGTCCCCACAAGGTTAGCTGTACAATACTGTGTGTGTGTGTGTGTGTGTGTGTGTGTGTGTGTGTGTGGACATACACATAGTATAACGCGAATGCCAGAGGGAGCGCTTGTTAATGATGTCTGCTGTAACTTTGTCTCAGGTATGTGGAGGAGCACATCCAGCGTACAGGAGTGGCCATTGAGACTCAAGGCTTCAGCTTTGTCACTAGTGGGCGCAAGAGAGAGTCTCTCACAGTGAGTACTGCTGGTACAGTTCTGAATGAATTTCCTCTACAGTTTGCTCCTCAATTCATGCACTTTGGTTGAGGTACTTTATCTTTTCACTGAGCAAGTGCTCACAGTGTATGGTGGATATTTGTTTTTCTCGCAGAATGTAAACTTTGTTTTGTTTCTTGCTGTATTTTAGGGAAATGCCACGCTGCATCTTTACCCACACTTCAGACCTCTACACGAGATCAAGGGTGAGATTTCAGAGTTGATTCAACCTCATTAGTCTGCGTCATAGTAGGACTCAGGAAACACCTCCCTCCCCTGTAATCTAGGATGTGATGGAACTACAATGGTGATGGCAGCATGACTGACAACCCATTCTAAACATTAGTCAGCACTTTGAGTGAAATGCATGAAAATACCATTCAAGTAAAGGTCTCTTTCTCTCCCTGTCTGTAGGTGTGTCTGAGTACCTTGGCACTGAGATCTGCACGTCGCGGCAGAAGCGCTTCAGCCTGGTGACGTTTGTGGACTCTCCTGGCTTGGTGGACGGGGACATGAAGTACCCCTTCGATGTGGACCAAGCCATCATGTGGCTGGGTAGGTCACCACAATATGGTGGTGTGTGAGGTGTAGGGTGTGTAATTTTGTGAATGTACTTCTGACTTTACCGTATGCTTTCTTATTCATCTATGTGTAAAGATGGCTACAGGATTTCATGTTTTAGCATTTGTTTATCTATCTGGCTAATTGAACAGAACATAACAGGCTCGTCTCTGTCCCCTCCCAGGCGAGCTGTGTGACCTCATCATGGTGTTCTTTGACCCAATGGGCCAGGCGCTATGCAAGCGTACTCTCAACATCGTCGAGAAGCTCAACGAGAAGCACGGCGACCGCCTGCGCTTCTACCTCAGCAAGGCCGACGAGGCCGGGGGAGAGTCGGACAGACAGGTACACATACGTACTGTAGTGGGACATTTTAAGATGAATAAAGTGCTTTAACGCAATCTATTATACTTTTCCTTTTCTGTAATACACATGATTCTGTTTGTGAAAGGTCTTTGGTCACTGGACTTGGAGGCCAGACGTGAAGGTTATGGACAGTTCTCCTATCTGTTGATAGTGTTGGCGCCAGTCTAAAAGTGCCAGTTCCGAGGACACACTGGTTGTTATTGTATTCTGTGAGACTGTGTGGTTCACTGCCTTGTGTTGAGTCTTTTATGTGTTTAGGGAACATGTGTGTTTAGGATATAAGGGCCTGCTCAGGGAAGGCTCGGGAGACATTTTCTCTGCTTTGCTGGAGGTTTCTCCCTCTTGCAACTTGTACTAAACCAGAGATTTTTTTTATAGACTTTATCAACGACCGCTTTTGTGTTTTTTTTACCTGGAAATCCCCTATTACACACGCCTTATACATATCTACAGTATGAGCAGGGTTGATGAGGGTCTGGGAGGGAGTTGGCCAGTTTATGATATACTCTAACAGCTCGCTGCTTGAATTTTCTGATTAGCTGATGTCATCAACTATCTCCCTGTCATGTGATTGGCTGTTTCAGAGGGTGATGATGCAGATAGTGCAGGAACTGTGCAAGCGGCCGGGACTCAACAAGTGTGGCTTCGACATGCCTACCATCTATGTCCCCAACCCCAACAAGGTAGCTACCGCACCCACCTTTTTGTACACTGCACCTGAAAGTCGCTGGATGTGCCAACCTGGGCCATCTTGGACTATACTAGCTAAATAAATAAAATGTATGTATACTATGTACGTGTGTTTTGAACTTCACTTCCACCTGCTTGTCCCCACCCTAGCCCAGTCGCTGTGTGAACCAGATTGAGGAGGCATGTCGCACCATCGAGAAGACCATCAACCAGACGGTCCAGAACACACTCAACTCACTAGAGAAGGACTGTGAGCTCATCACTGAGGCCATTGCAGATACACTCAGCCAAGACAGGTAAAACACGCATGCATACTTTGTGCTTGACACCTACTCATTCTCAACTTGCTGAAAAAATATTATATTTTAGATGACACACACAAGCACACACACATCACTGATCTTCTCTCCTTTCCAACACAACAATATCCCCCCTCTCTCTCTCTCTCTCTCTCTCTCTCTCTCTCTCTCTCTCTCTCTCTCTCTCTCTCTCTCTCTCTCTCTCTCTCTCTCTCTCTCTCTCTCTCTCTCTCTCTCTCTCTCTCTCTCTCTGTGTCTCTCAGGCAGACCAGTGTAGATAACCGGCGGGCGCGCTGTAAGGGCTGTGTGTTGGCTCTGCTGGGCTTCAGTGTGCCCTTCATGCTGATGGCAGCCCTGGTGCTGGGCAGCCTCTCCAGAGAGCTGCTAGAGATGGCCCTGGGGGATGACGGCTTCGAGGCCCTCTCTCTCTACCTGGTCAGTGTATTTGTAAGAGAGAGACAGAGTGAAGGGGTGGTGGGTGTTAGTCTGACCGTGTGTGTGTGTGAGACGGAGTGGGGGAAGTTTTTTTGTGTATGTGTGACTCTCTGCCCTCTGTCCCCCCACAGACTCCTGTAGTGAGAGTGTTTGAGTCCATGTCCGTGGAGTATCAGCTCTACTGTTGTGGCGGACTCATCCTCCTCTCCTTCATACTCCTCATCCTCGCCCGCTTCTCCTTCAGGTAAGATCTGAGCACACTCCCAACCTGCGGCATCTTGTTCAACTTCAAGGGCCACCAGTTATCAATGGAACTATGCCTAAAGTCTCTCACTTCTCTCCGCAGGACTCAGCCCACTCTCTCTGGCCGACAGAAGAGGCAGCTACAGGAAAAGCTGGATTATGTGCAGGAGGTGGTGAAGTCCAAGAAGGTAGTGTGTGTGTGTGTGCGTGTGAGCATGCAGTGGTGTGTGTGCTTGACCACTAACTGTGCGTATCTCTCCCTTCCTGTAGAAGAAGCTCTATGAGGAATACCTTCGCCAGAGTGTGGGCGATCAAGATATGGACTGATAGAGAAAGCAAGGGATGGATCCAATGGAGAATACCACTGAACATCCCCACTGTAGAGGACCAAATGTAATGTAGGGTTTAAACTGTTCAGGCTTTACTTTCCTGGCCATGCCTTTATGGTGCATTCATGACAAGTCGGAAACTCTGAGTTAAAATGAACATACATTATTTGCGTAGAGCAGGGCTGTTCAATGTCGGTCATGGAGGGCCAAAACACTTCTGGTGTTCATCCTGTCCTTCTAATCGGGGACTGATTCAGACCTGGGACACCAGGCGAGTGCAATTTACTACCAGGTAGAAACAAAAACCAACTTGGGCCTCCTCTTTCTACAACGAATTTCCAAGTCTAAAATTTCGGAGTTTCCGAGTTGTCTTAAACGCACCATTTACGTGTCACTCCAGAGCACGCAGGGTGACATGGGAAATGTATCCTTGTCCAAGTGTTGTCAGTCCAATGTCTGTTCATTCATGTAATTGTAAACCATAGATCACCTTAATTTCTGATACAGTAAGCTCTTAGAAACCAACTCCTAACTCTGGCACTCATATTGCTTTTCAAATCCTTACGATGCAAACTGACATGGGACCAGTATTTTTGTATGAGATACATTTCTGTTCACTAACTACATTATGAATTGAACAAAGCATTTCTATACATTTTTGTACAATGTTTTTGGTATCCACAGCTGAGCCTGTTTGCTATTCCAGGCTTCAACATTTCAGGCTCAGACAAACACCTATGATGCAATATAAACCAATAACATTACATGAGGATCATGGGACCTGTATTTTTGTACAAGGTGAACTCTCAGCAATCAATGTCTCTGTTAGCAAATCAGCATCAAATGACTTATGCAGTACTGTTTACTTGCTGTTCCTTTTTGTTCACATGTAACTGTTCAAAGCAGCAATTGTGCAGTTCCACACATTTTCTAGCAGTTAACAACCAGGACCTGTTGATGACCAGTAACCTCTATCAGTGATGTTTTACTTGCTTTTCCTACATTGTTACTATGTTTCATTCAAAATTATATAAATAAACGCACAGTTTGTTTGTACAATGTTTTCTGTTCAGTGTTCTGTTCAGCAGGGGTCATGAATTTGTAGGATATCGACCCCATGTTTGGTGTCAGCCATGCAAACCTCTATATTATTTCCGCAGTGAGAAAATTGATGTCACATTTGTTAACCTATTGTGTGGTGTGTAGTATCCCCAAATAGGATTTGAGCAGGCAGCATCGCATTTTCAAACCATTTTAGATGGTTAAAAATAGTTAAGACATTTATTAATCAACCGGCCTACACCCCAAAGAGCAAGCTAAGCAGAAGTAAAAGCACAGTGGCCAGGAAGAACTCCCTAAGAATGAAGAAACCTGGAGAGGGACCAGGCTCAGAGGGGTGGCTAGTCCTCTTCTGGCTGTATCGGGTAGTCCAGGCATACTGTATTTCTAAAGCGCCTCTGAAGAGTTCGGTGAGGGAACGGAACATCCTGACCATGAGAGGGTGTTTAGGGGACTCCTGAGCAGGGGGCAGTTCCTCCTGGGGTGTGGCAGTTCCTCCTGGGGTGTGGAAGTGGATGGAACCTCACACTCAGCATCTGTGATAAGAGAACATTGTGGGATCAGGAATGAACATACATGGATGCATCGGTCTTCACTCTAACTTCTGCCTAAACAAACTGGTAATGTTAATATGACATTTCACGTGATGTAGCCTGTAGGTATGTCAATAGCAGGCCTAATAATAAGACCATAAGTGTTTATTCTAATCACAGGTAGGCTCAGTTCTGTCATATGTCAAGAATCCATTCACTCCGTTGAGTCAGCATTGACATCTCATTCCAAAATCATGGACATTAATATGGAGTTGGTCCCCCCTTTGCTGCTATAACAGTCTCCACTCTTCTGGGAAGGCTTTCCACTAGATGTTGGAACATTGCTGCGGGGACTTGCTTCCATTCAGCCACAAGAGCATTAGTGAGGTTAGGCACTGATGTTGGGCGATTAGGCCTGGCTCGCAGTCTGCGTTCCAATTCATCCCAAAGGTGTTCGATGGGGTTGAGGCCAGGGCTCTGTGCAGGCCAGTCAAGTTCTTCCACACCGATCTCGACAAACCATTTCTGTATGGACCTCGCTTTGTGCACGGGCCATTGTCATGCTGAAACAGGAAAGGGCCATCCCCAAACTATTGCCAAAGTTGGAAGCACAGAATTGTCTAGAATGTCATTGTTTGCTGTAGCGTTAAGATTTCCCTTCACTGGAACTAAGGGGCCTAGCCTGAACTATGAAAAACAGCCCCAGACCATTATTCCTCCTCCACTAAACTTTACAGTTGGCACTATGTATTGGGGCAGGTAGCGTTCTCTTGGCATCCACCAAACCTAGATTTGTTCGTCAGACTGCCAGATGGTGAAGTGTGATTCATCACTCCAGAGAACCAGTTTCCACTGCTCCAGAGTCCAATGGCGGAGATCTTTAAACCACACCAGCTGACGCTTGGCATTGCGCATGGTGATCTTAGGCTTGTGTGCGGCTGCCCGGCCACGGAAATCCATTTCATGAAGCTTCCGACGAACAGTTATTGTGCTGACGTTGCTTCCAGTGGCAGTTTGGAACTAGGGAGTAAGTGTTGCAACCAAGGACAGACTACGCGCTTCAGCACTCAGCGATCCCGTTCTGTGAGCTTGTGTGGCCTACCACTTCGTGGCTGAGCCATTGTTGCTCCTAGACGTTTCCACTTCACAATAACAGCACTTTGACCGGGGAAGCTCTAGCAGGGCAGAAATTTGACGAACTGACTTGTTGGAAAGGTGGCATCCTATGACGGTGCCACATTGAAAGTCACTGAGCTCTTCAGTAAGGCCATTATACTGCCAATGTTTGTTTATGGAGATTGCATGGCTGTGCGCTTGATTTTATACACCTGTCAGCAACGGGTGTGGCTGAAATAGCCGAATCAACTAATTTGAAGGGGTGTCCACATACTTCTGGCCATGTCGTGAATCTCATTTTCCATTATGACACAACAAGACTACTCAGAATAGTTATTTGGAAAACACCGGAAGACACAGAAGACGGAACAAATCATAGTTTGATAGAGGACTCTAGATCAGGGCTCTCCAACCCGGTTCCTGGAGAGCTACTCTCCTGTAGTTTTTCAATCCAACCCCAGTTTTAACAGACCTGATTCAGTTTATCAGCCAGCTAATTATTAGAATCAGGTGCGCTAGATTAGGGTTGGAGCGAAAACCTACAAGACGGTAGTGCTCCAGGAACAGAGTTGGAGAGCCCTGCTCTACATGGATAAAACCCATTTTGGCATGGACATTGCCATTGAAGGCTTCCACCATTTGAAAGTAGTCAACTGGGCGGGAGTCAGGACTTTCTATGGGTTAAGGAACGATCACATGATTCCATCTGGGTCATCAGGAAGGATTGGCAATTAATTATTAGAGAGAAAGAGAGAAAAAGGCCAGTTGAGTAGCATGCCCACGCAGGTCCGATCAGACCGGCCTACCGGGAATAGTCCCGCACTTCCCGATGGGAAAAATATGTGCACCATCTTAATAGAACAACATTTCCCACCACCATTTTCGGACAACTGGCTGAACGTGGTGTGGAACATCCTAAACTGTCCAACAATCCGAAAAATGGTGGTGGAAAATGTTGTTTTATTAAGACAGTAGTCATATTTTACAGGTGGCTTGCCATTAAAGATAGTTAAGGAGGACAATTATGCCTTTGCAGCCTGAATGGAGGATGCTTTATGTACGAGACGGTCCACGGGGGACACAAGTGTATTACCGGGAATGAACATCAATCCTAGACAATAATGCAGATCTAGCGGCAACTATCGGCTGCCTAGGCCAGGGTTTCCCAAACTCGTATTGGCCACGATTCACATGGCCATATCTCCATAAATAGTTGGTATATACACCACCAATGATTGATTAAAAGGTTTGAGGGGGTCTAGAGAACACAATAAAATGACCAAAGTATGCCTTATGTATGTATCCTTTAAACTTTATGCAAAAATGTGGTGAAATGTCCCCTAAAATGAGTTATGTAATTTGAATTGGCCCTAACTTCATTAGTAAGTGGTACATTAAGCCTAATGATGGCTTAAAATGTTCAGGGTAGCGTGGCAAATACAATCAAATGGATCATGTATGTTTTTTTAAAGATGTTTTTGAAAATACGACCAGAAATGTGCCTGGAATTCTGTCCAAATCACATATTTTTGTGGATATTTTGATCTCTCGATTGAGAGGATCTCGTTTCGGCATGCTCCTAATGATATCAAAATATTGTCTGATATCTGTGGATTAGAATTATACAGTATATAACATGTCCCAAAACAGTGCTTGCATAATAAGTAATGGTAGCCTTAGTATAATGTCCCATACATCCCATTAAAAAAGGTAGAGTTCTATTGGAATGGCTTCATGTCCATGGTTCCATTTTCAACATTCTAAGTACAGAGAAGTAAGTACAGGGAAAGTTTCTTGTCACATTTCTTGAAATGGACAAAATACTGAATATCATATTTTATATCATTGTAATTAGTCAACTTTAGGGAACACCCATTTGACAGTTTTAAGTATTTACATGTAAAATACTGAAAATGAGGATGGAAGTATGTTCAAGAATCAGTAAATTTGGTATATTTTGTTGAGACTTTTCCATCACTTTTCTACAACAATATATTTAAAGGATACATATGACATACTTGGGCAATTTTATTGTGTTCTCCAGACCACCTCAAACATTGTATCCATCCTTGGGCTGTATGTCCCAAAATTCAAGCCCCTTGGGTGCTGCCATAGAGTTGCTACTAGCTGTTTATTAGTCACTTTATCCCAACCTACATGTACAAATTACCTCGACTAACCTGTACCCCCGAACATTGACACGGTACCAGTACCCCCTGTATATAGCCTCGTTATTGTTATTTTATTGTTACTTTTTATTTTATACTTTCGTTTATTTAGTCAATATTTT